CCAGCTCTGCTTGATTGAGCGGTTTGCCCATGTCCTTGAAGGCATCCTGCCATCCAAGGAGCCTGACCCGAGATGCTTTACTTTTATCTCAAGGCAAGCCATTCAATGTTTGCCAAATGCTTTGCTCACACACGAATTTGTTCAGCCTTTGAGTGCTTTAATTTACGAAACTCGGAATGCAGCTGGAAATGAATCTTTAATCTTTCCAAAAGCTTTTTTAATTAGCATCAAAGAGTTTCGAGTAATTTATTTAGATTTGAAAGCCAAGCAACGGCAAAGACAATTTGCAACCACAACTTCAGCTTGAGCAGAAATCCGTTTTCAATTACATCCGAGTGTACGCATGCAAACACGAATCTCTTGACTTTATCTCTGTATCTTCAGATTGCCAAACTTCATTTCATTGGAAATTGATTTTAAAAAATACTAGTAAATCATAACCGAATTGTTTGTCGAAATAAATTAATATTTTTTGGCTTTGCCCCATTGAAATATGGAAAAATTTAATAGAAAAGCAAGCCATTGAAAGAGAAAAGGGGGAAAAAAGCGTTTCTTAAGTGCATTTAAAGCATTTTGGCAGCGGGTGCCTTCTGGAAACGGGCCAAATTTTCTATTTAGTGGTGCTAATGCTAATAGTTCTTGGCCAGCCAAGCTGGAAAGTGCGGAATAACGAGGGTAGAGAGTGCAACTTGCCACCCAGGCAATGCAATTTACGGCACTCTGGCACAGAGATCAGTTAACACTTTGCTGGCCAAATGCATTTGAAATGGGTGACAAAATGCAGGTGGGACGAAATCTGGACACTTTACACATACAATGCAATTCGGTAAACAATGGGGATGGGTAGAGTCCTTTCGTAAAGCAAACTTTCAGCAAGCTTCTTAGCAAGAGATTCAGGTTTCAATTACTTGAGGCATGACAATCTAAACCCTGCCGATTAGGTGACCACATCAATGCCTGTTAGGCAGCCAAGAGAAATTGAATTTTGCCTCCATTCACCCAGTAACTAATTAACTCCTTGCCCAGCCTGTGTTAAGACATTTTAAAGCACTCTTTAGCAGATAGTATTTGCAAAGCAATTCCATGATTTGCATGTTCTTTTTGTTTGTGCTCAGCAAACACTACTACATGTCAATGGATTTGGCTTCGACTTTAGATTGCTTTGGGCACTTTGTCAGCTTCACTCACTCATTCACTCACCGACCGGGCTTAAAAACCTGTCCATGTGGCGCCACCCGGCCACCGGCATTGGAATGTGCGATGTCAACAGTCGGAAAATGTGAAAAATGTATGCCACAAATAAACAAATCAGGTGATGGAGCTGCTGAGCCTCCCTCTGGCCTCATAATGTATGGCCATCTGGGTGGGTAAGGAGGTAGCATCAAGGGTTCCCGGCAACTAAGGATCGTTTGCTGAAATATTGGTCAACAGTTGGCCCTTCTGGATTTGTTTATTATTTCCAACCAGTTCGGTTGGCCGGAGTCCAATGCCGTCGAGGAGGAGGCAGGAAGCTGATCCGGATTCGGGCCTCGAAGAGCCTTTGCCGAGGCAGCAAGGCTCAATAGGGAAATCCCTGGCACTCATTTTGAAGTAAAAATCCATAAATATGGCAAATCCTTCAGCCAATTCGCTGGTTGACCTGGTTAGTTCAGTTTCGCCCTGGGGCAATGGCTGGATTATTGTTTTAATTACTGCAAATCATTCAACAAATCAATTGATTATAAAAAGTTTGCGTAATGGATTTTTTCTTTATTTCACTTTTTGTGCCAAAGGGGAAGTTATGTTATGGGCAACATCTGTTGAATTTAAATCAGTTTTTTGTGCATTAATGTCAATATTGGTTAGCTTATTTGCTTGCATTTAATGACGTTTATGAATTTTCATATGATTGATCAACAATAAATAAGTTTGCGTTAATTTTTGATGAGGTATTTGTTGATTTTAATTGTTTGTTTTTATTATCAATAATATTTTAGTTATTTGCCTAGTAAGACTAGGGATTTTAATGATTTTTTAACTAATAGCAGTGATTAACTCGATGTTATTTTATTAGAGAGCTTTAAAATCAAGTAATTTTGTCTTCAATGGGACATAGACTCCACTGATTTCAGTTCTCATTAAGTAAATTGGAGTGCCCGGCATCGCGGCTTGTGATCTTTGGCACGAATGGCTTTGCAAATGTCTTGGAGATATTGAGCAATCCCACACTGACCCTTTCCATTCGATATCCTTCGTGTCCCTGCCCCTCCATGGAAAATGTCAGCTGGTCAAACAATGCCCAAGGCCTTGCGAAATGGTATTTCTGCTTTAAATTAAAGCCATCGGGAGGGCGAGTATGACCATTACGTGGGGATCCTATGCATTGTCAGGTCCGGAATATTATCTAGTGCTTATCGCTCACTCAGAGTGCTTGCCCATCGATGCATAATGCTGCTGCAAGGTTGCGAGATTGTGGGTTATTTGTCGTTAATATGCAAACAGTTAACTGCAGCCTGCCGTCCTGTGTATCTGTGTGTGTTTATGGCATGGCTTACATGTGCATGTGCCCGTGCTCCGGCTCAAATATGGCCGGGTTCAATCATAACCGGAAGCGGAAGTTAATTGTGCATATGCTTAATGCAGGCAGAGGTTGATGGTTTAAGTACGCTCTCTCTCCCTCTCTCTCGGCCAGTGCATCTCCCAATGATAGCAACAATTAGCGTGTGTCAATATTGTGTTTATACAAATCCCATGGAAAAGCCAAAAGGAAATGTTCGCAAATTTCATACAACGTGTCCTGGGCGCTGGTGAAAAAAACGAAAAGTAATTTGTCGCTAACCAAGTGTGTACTAACCTCATTTTACTAAAAGCATTAAAAATAAAATGTAATCACATGCTTCATAAAAGTAATAACTACACAGACGCGCACAGTGATGCCGGTTGGGGCTCTATCATAGACAGAAACGAGCTTCCTGCACTTCAAAACGTGCCTGACTACGTGTCGCTATAAAAGTCCCCCTTCGGCAAGTGTGCGAAAGTGTACACAGTGAGAAAATTGGGGTCAATATCAAGGGGGAAGCCATAATGCCAAGGTATTTAACCTTAATAATATGGGGCAATATCAGTGGGAAATCATTCCGATTGCTCTATTAACTTATTCATACTTCTTAGTTAATATTGTATTACAAACAAATATTTATGATGTATTACCTACCTCTACCTTTAACAGTATTACCTTAAATCCTATGTCACTTTGTTTATTAATTGATAAATTCAATTATTTAGTTATTTTCTTTCGGTGTAGTGCCCCACTTCCATGTCTGTCACTGCCAAGAAGCACAGAGGCAGGCGGCCATTGCCGTTGCCATTGTCTATGTCAAACTCTCTATGCTGCTGTATGTGTGCATTAATGTGCGTGAGCACATCTGATTTTTATGAGACGATTATGAGTTGCCTTTTATTATTTGCCATTGGGTTTGGCCAAAGTGTTGCCACAACCGCACACAAAGATTTGCCACCCCATCGGAGGGGGGCAAATTCCCCAGCATTAATTAGTGTCAACACCTAAGCTGACTTGGGGAAAGCAATAGAAGAAAAAAAAAGGTGCTAACCATTTCAGGAGGCATAGCCATAAGCCGGTGCAGCTGCAGTTGGCTTCTTAAGCTATCGTCGTCGATGGCTGAAATGAAAATCCCAAAATGACTTTACACTCTGCACTCGCACTGACAGCTGCTTGGCACTGCCAGAAAAATTCATTCATTCATCATACTTAAATAAGATTGATTTAAATATATGGGTTTATTATGATTTAATGAATTTAGAACTACATTTGTCATATAAATCTGCTTAAAACTGCTTAAACTGTATGGATTTTGATTAAAAAAAAGTGTTTAGGAGACTTTTCTCTAGGTGTGCAATTTCTGTCAATGAATGGAAATCTTAAAGCCTCTCTAGGAATTTGCTGGTTATTCATTGTGTCAAAAGTGCCAGGGAGCTCGTTAGAAGCCTAACTCAATAACGAAAAGCATTGTCATGTCGCATATGACAGCAAACAGTTGCAGTTTATTGGATCCATCCGTCGATGGATTTGCAAAATTCTTGCAAAATTTTAAAGTGAGCCCAAATAAACAATTCATCTTGATTAATGAAGGGACCTACGAGCTCGAAAATTGCCGCATGACCTGATACACTCCCTACCCACCTTTTCAATTCGATTCGATTTATCATCAACTATGGGATGTTGGCCTAAACCGGGTACCAGGGCCTACTCGTGCGGACATTTGAAGAAAATTCATAGTATTATGCATGCTCACTTGGCCACGAATCAGTGCGTGGCAACAATCGCCTGCGGCCCAAAACTTCAAACGTGGATCTATAAAGGTACACTCAAAAGTAAGAGTTTTCGAAAAATACTCAAAACAAGATCCAAAAAAATTACACTCGGAGGGGAATAAACTAAAACAAAATAAATGAAATCAACAATAAATAATATGATTAAACTTATAGTTTATCAATTGTGATACAATTCAATTTGTTTGCAAATTGCAAACGTATTCAAGAACTCTTCATTTTGAGTACATGGCTTTCAGTATACAATGTTGTAATTTTCAGTTATTTCATTCACTTAAAGTTAATTGTGTCTCCAGGGCTCATATGGATAGGAGGAATTTTACAAGTGTGTGCAACAGAAGCACACACACGCCTTGACAGATTGGCCATGCGTGGCAAACAAACCCAAAACACGGGCAGCACAGCACTAGGCTCCCCAGGACCTCCTTGGTCCTGAAACTGAAACGGTCAGTGGCCGCTGGCAAAAAGTTTATAATAGAATTTTTAAGCATGAATAATTATGTGAATAAGACTTTCGACCAGCTGCTGTTGCTGCCTGCCGCCTTGATTGGCCGCTGTCCTTTTTTGATTATGCACGGGCAGACATCAAATTTGCTAATTAGGTTAATTGACTTTAATTTAATAGGCACGCGACTAGACTGCTCAACAACAATCGATTGAAATGAGACCATTTAAAGGGGCGCATTCGTTGTGGGAATCCTGGCCAGTTTACTGGAGTTGCTAGCGGTGAGATTTAGGCTAAACTGGATACAAATCACAATGTAGCTGATCATTCCGAATAGGAACTGTAGGAAAAAGAAAGATTTATTTAGTAAGAGTATTTAAAGGTAGAGGATACTACCTTTCCCAGCATCTCTGTACTGATTTCCACCAATCCTCCTGCACTAAACTGGCATCTCTCCTGTCCCAATTGCATACACATTCGATTGAGAGCCGCATTCAGTTGGCTATTGCGACGATCCTTGGTTAAAGTGTAGAACATTGATCGGAATCTCCGTTGCATTACATCGCAACGAGTGCAGATCCAGCAGGGAACAACGACCTCCAAGATCTTAACACACTCGTCGACACCGCAATCTTGGGAAATATCAAAAATATAATAATTTTTTTTTTTAGTAAATTAATGTAAAATAAAGCCTTGAATGGAAATGCTTAAATCACCAAAATAAATTAAATATTTTAGTGCTTTAACTACGTATAAATATTCCACAGAAAATAGCTGACATTTCCCTATTATATTTGTCAACACAATAAAAACTAACATTGGACAGCTTTCCGATTTAAATTTAATGGATTTTTGGCTTTGTTATAAATGTTAAAAACTTTGATTTGTCGAAAAAAAGTCATATAGAAATATCAGCAAACAACAAACAAAGAATGCAAATTTCTGAGGCTTAGTTATGATCCATTACCAATATGATTCTATAATTATTTTACAAACTGCTGGTTTATACAATCTTCGGTTTCCCGAAGTTAGTTTGCTTTGGTTTTTCTCCAAAAATGTGCTTAAAAAAATTCGGATTACTAACAAAGTTCGTTGAAACTATCCATTTGCTCAATATGATTGAGGTAAATCCAATAGGGCAGGGTCGCAGAGTCCACAAAAAGCATCAAAAGCATGATGATCAGACTTAGATGAAATTTACCCTCCAAAATTCTGATCGCTTTCCAAAGTAAACTATGAATTTGTTGCAGAATTTGTAACTTCTCCAATGACACACGACGCACAGAGTTCAGTTCGAATCTGGTTCGATACAACTCTTCCAGGACACCCGATCCGGCAAGGGTTAGTTCCTGGTAGAGGAATAATATCACCACAGTGTACAGCGTGAACTCGGTGAAGGAAACCAGCATAACTAATTCGGAGAAGAGGACATGGTAGATGATTGTTTGATTGGTGAACGGGGTAAATAGGATGAGCATCAGGCATCTGATGAACAGAGATCCATAGACGGCATTGCAATAGGCACGAACTCGTTGCAAGTTCACTTGCTTGCCCGTGAGCTTGTTAATCTCTGACAGGATCTCCTCCAGCTGATTATCCACATTGTGACCAGGATTTCGCCATGTCCTCTCTAGTACGATGACGACATTGATTGTTATCTGGATAGCGTAGGCGAGCAAATCAAAGGCCAGCGAAAGGGGTCTATCGCGATACAAGTACTCTGTTTCAAGAGCAACAATATAATAGAAGTAGGATGGAACTAAGACCAGCGTCATTAGTAATAGACTGCAAATCAATTTGGCAATCACTCTATTTCCCACCGGCTTCATAAACATGCACTTCATAAGGCGATTTATCCGAAGAAGTGAAACGGCGTGAAGTTCCCCGGACATTTTTCAAATGACTAAAAAGGACAATACAGACCCTAAAATGGTTTAACCTTTTATTAATTGGCTAAGTGCCATTGGAAGATATATCTAATCTAATGAGTGCATGCCCTGCAAACGAATCCTTAAGGATAATCATAATGAAACGTAATGCAAGCTAAGTTATAATTTTCTATAGAAACTAAATTATTTATACGTATTTTTAGTGAGCTTACTAACAGTATTGGATGGATATATCGGAGTGCAGTGTTTTGCTGAGATAGATCCAATAGGGAAGCGCTGAAGTGTCCACAAAGAACTTCATTAGCATGATGATCAGGCACAGCTGAAAATTGCGTTCCAGACATCGGTTAGCTCGCCAAATTAATCCATGGATTCGCTGCAACTTGACCAATTTCTCCAGAGATAATCGCCGTACGGACCATAGCTCAAATCGCGAACGCTCCAACTCAGCCAAGACATTGATACTAGCCAGGATCAATTCCTGGTAAAGGGCCAAAATCACGGCACAGTACAGTGTGAACTCGGAGAAGCGCACGAACAAAACTATTTCCGAGTAGAGGGCATAGTAGGTGAGGGCCCTATTGTTGTACACGTTTGCCAGGCAGAAGACCACGCAGCGGATGAAAAGCGATCCATAGACGGCATTGCAGTAGCCACGAACTCTATCCAAGTTAACCCGTCTACCCAGTTGGGCACTCATCACCCGATGGATTCCCTCCAGCTGGCTATCGATCTCGATTCGGCAATTTCGCCAAACCAATTGGTTCACTATGACAACGTGGCTCATTATCAGAGCCACGAAATTGGTCAAATCGATGACGCGCGAGAAGTGATCGTTTATAAAGTCATAGGTGAAATCGTAGTCAAAACTAAAGCGAAAGTAGGAGGAAAGACCCACAATAATGCACAACACCACGTTACAGAGCACTTTGGCCATCAGGTGCTGGCCCATTGGCAGAATTATAATGCACTTCATAACGCGATTCATGACCAGCAGTGACACTGCGTGTAGTTCCCCGGACACTCGACCCATGACTGAAACACTCCTGTGGGGCGTACTTAACTTGGTATCACCTATTTAATTGGCTAAGTGCGATTGGTAGATACGAGTAGAGTTTATTGCATACTAAAAGCTAGCAGACTATGGGCAATGTGGCTTCTCCTTATTCATACTTAATATGTAAGTTATTTATTAACTATTTATATCTTGATAAAAAACTCCTCTTACTAACAGCAATTGGAGCGCCAACCCGTGATCTGCACATTGCTGAGGTAGAGCCAATAAGGCATCGCCGAGGTGTCCACAAAAAACTTCATTAGCATGGTAATTAAACAAATCTGGAAATTGTGCTCCAGGCAGCGGATAGCCTGCCACAATAATCCATGCAACCGCTGCAACTTGGCCAAATTCTCTATGGACGATTGGCGTACCGAATCCAATTCGTACAGTGAGGACTCCAGTTCCGCCAGGACACTTAGACCAGCCGGTGTGAGCTCCTGGTAAAGGGCCAAAATGACGGCACAGAACAAACTAAACTGGGAGAATCGCACCAGCAGGACAATTTCCGAGTAGATGGCATAGTATGTAAGGGGTCGATTGGCAATAATAGTTGCCAGGCCAAACACCAGGCAGCGGATAAATAGAGAGGCATAAACCGCATTGCAATATCCCCGAACTCGCTGCAAGTTCACTTCGATGCCCAGGAGCACATTCATCTCACGACGAATACCTTCCAGCTGATTATTAACTTCATCGTTTCTTTTAAGCCATACCAGCTCCATTACAATAATAATGTGGCTAACTATCATAGCCACATAATTCGTCATATCGATGAAGCGCGAAAATTGATCATTGCGGACATCGTAGTTGATTTCATAGTCGAATCTTAAGCGCCAGCGAGTGGAGAACACCACAGTACACACGAGAATTGCATTGCAAAACACCTTGGCAATTAGGTGTTCACTGACCGGTAACATAACCATGCACTTCATAACGCGATCCATGCCGAGCATTGAAACTGCGTGTAGTTCCCCGGACACTGGCCCCATGACTGGAGTCCATCAAAGATTGTCCTTAAGTGGTTCGAAAATGTAATTAGCAAATTGCGATTATCTGTGTTGGGTGCCACCCTTAAGGGAGGAACTTAAGCGTAATTTATGTGTATTAAATTATTGGTTTACTTAAATTTTTCCATTTGGATTTAATGAAAAAAGAACGCCTCGAATTTCCCTTTCACAGCTGAGGCGGCTGCCTGCCTGCGTGCTGATAAGATCCCCTTGTAATCACCCAAAATGACACATTTCCCATTCAAATTAGCATCAAAGCGATGCTAAGGGCTAAGTGGAAGCAGATGCCCCAGTGCCCATAAGTGAAATGATTTGTTAATTTCATTCAACCACCACACACACTCACACACCCTCGTATATGGGGGCGATGAAAATTGCTTATCAAAAATATGGCAGAGGGGCTTGGTTGGGGGAAGGCGCACATAAATTTGCATGCCTTTATTGCAACCACAACGAAATGCGGACCGGGGAAGACAGGAGGCGCTGGCAAACAAACGAGGAAATGTACAAGCACGCATATTAAGGCAGTACACTCACACTTGGGAAAATGTTTTTCCTACAAATGAGTTTAGTCCTGGTTTGAGTTAAATTTTACACACAGAATTTAAAAGCTAAAAAATGAAGAATTAAGTAAGAGAAAACTGATTGTAGTCTTCAATGCAAAGTGTTTTCTTTTTATTTTAATAAATGTAAAGGTATAATAAAGTACTTAATAAGTTAATGTTAATGATCTAATCATAATTAACTATCTAGAGTTTTCAATTTTCGAAAACGATTTAAGGTGGTTTATGGTGGGAGTTTTTCATTAATTTATAATGGTTTCATTTCTCTCTCTGCACACAGAGGCAAGCACTTACATCCGCTTTACTGGTTTTTATGCAACCACCATGGTGGCACTTTGTTTGCACACTTGTAAAACACCTGCAGAACGAACGCCTTTGGCAGTGGCAGTGGCACTGGCAGTCACAGAGTACTGTGTGTATATGAAGTAATGACTTAATTGCCTCTTCTTTGCAGCATATATCCCCCATCATCCGCAACCACTCGCAGCGATTGATCCAACCGCGACTCTTGGCGTCTATATCCCCCGTCTGGAAGTGGGGCTTCATAATTCTGCACAGGTGTCGAGGAGGCTTTGTCTTTGATTGTTCGTCTGGCGCGACTCTAATCTCTGACAGCCACTCCACCATCACCGTCAGTGGAGAAGGACGAAGCAGCTTTAAGGAGCAGCTGGCAGACTGAGGCCTCTGGTCTGGGTTCAATTGAAGCAATTGTGCGGCGTTGATTTGTATAATTTTGTAATTTGTATACCAAAATTGTGGCCACACATGTGCCAGAGGTTTGGGGGGGCGGGGGAAACAATTTCGCCTTTTTGGGGGTAAAAACATGTATAAATAAATTAAAATGTATATGCGAATAGGAATTGCTTGAAAGGGGAGGTGCAAGAGTTTTAACATCCTTAGAGGCAACACATAAGGATTAGGTTTCCAAAGATCTTAAATAAAGGATCTTATGCTACGCTATGTCATTTCCATAATTAATGCTTAACTTGTAGAAACTTAAAACTATCAACTCACTGATATGTTAACTAAATTTTCTAAATCAAACTTTTTCTTACTTACTCCTGAATCTCCCCAATCGCTGGCAGCAGCACTTGCTAAATGTAATTATCGAAATACTTGCTCTGGCTGTGGTGTCTATATGGTTATGATTTGCCATAGGCACTGGCAACAACTTCAAGTGCCCTGCACGTGTCCACAAGGACTCTGCTGACTCTCTGCTGGGTTTCCAGGAAGTGGCTTTATGTGTGCGTTTACCCACCGATGGCATAACTCTCGTCCTGTAACTCCAATTCTGATGCTGATGGCTGAGCATCATGCAGACATGTGCCTCCTCCTGCCGCAGATGCTGGTGATGACTGAACCGCCTTTCATATGTGCCGCTCTAATGTAAGTCATTCCGTGTTATCTGATTTTAATTTGGCACAATTTCCCTTTTCGCACCTGTTGTGACCTGGGCGGCGTACAGACCCACAGCCCATTAAAAATATGCAAATATAAATATGCTAATTTGCTGAAAATTGATTTTGCAATTTAATTGAAAATTCCACAGCAGTCTTGTTGTTGTGGTTGTTTTGCTGGAGGAGGAGGAGGAGTAGGAGCAGTGGGAGTGTGTTACATGAGTCTTGTAGCTGCGGTTGTTCGAGCAGCTGCCACAAATTGCATAAATACGAACAATACTCCCAACATTTCCATCCTTCGCACATCATTTGCAACTTTTTGGGGGCTAGGCTGCTTTTAATGACATTAAAATTGCCAAAATTACAACACGCATCACACACACACACACACAGAAGGGCGAAGGGGGGACTGTCGTTGAAAATCAATAAGAGCCGAGTTCAATTCCGTTTAGAGCCATTGCCATTGCTCGCTGACAAATGCTGTGCCTGATATATTGCCCCAGACTGGCTCAATAAATTCCATGTTGACTTGCAAAAAGGCAAAGGGGGGATCCGGGTGTGACTCGAGAGGCGGGGCAAGTGTGATAAATGTGCGGCATTTGGCGAGCAATGCAAACATGGCACCTTAAACTACAATCAAAAATAATTGCATTTTTCACAACCCAATCATTATGAGAGATGATGTCCCGCTGCCAGAAGGCAACAAAATGAAAAAGAAAGGTAAGCTAAAAAAGCAGGGAGCAGTCAAAAGTCATGACAATCCTGGCCAGACAATTGCAAAAAGTCAGCGGAATGGCAGCTAACATGGCCAGCTAAGTGATAACAACACACGGCCAGAAGGGCAGACAGACAGACAGACATACAGTGGGGTGTGTGTTAGTTTGGCAACATCATTTATCTTGTCCTGGCAGCGAGCGAGCGAGCGAGTCCAGTCGAAGTCGCCTGCAGTCTCAGGACTCGGAGCCGCAAATCGGACAGGACCTCGCACTGGCCGAGACAACTAGAAATATATATTTTCCTTCGAAGCCATGGTCATATTTATTGCCAAACTCGCTGATTCCTACTTATTTTCGGTGGAATGTGTGTGTGCTCTGCTCTATTTTTCACTTTAATTGGCAGGGTTAAGCGGGCGGCGCGGTGGAGTTCATTGATGTCAACTGGATGCCAACTCACACACTTGTTATTCGATCGCAAAAGGTCACTGGGACAAGTATCAAAGGAGATGCGACAAATTGTGTTGCCTTGGTGGGATTTGAAGCGTAATGACAGCTCTATCTCATTCCCCTGTACTGTGTGTGTTTGCATTTTTGTTCTGCCAACTGTCTGCCAGACGGCGCAATTAGGCCGGCAAATGTGGCGACCGAAACGCTGTGAAATGCTGCGCCAAAATGGCTGCGATATGGCCCAAATGGCTGTCGGCAGAGGGCAGAGTCCCCTGTCCTGGATACACCCACACCCAAGGACACACACACACATCCTTTTGGTCTCTTTTGGGGGCAAACAATCGAAGATTTATTGTCCCTCGGCGCATTCTTTGGCACTGCGAAATGTGCAAATTTGCGCTGAAATATATGCCCTGCCACCGAAAAGTTGTGTAGGCGGCGCATATAAGTATGCTATACTTTTGCCACAAATCATAATCGATTCAGTGACAAGCCAATGTCGATGGCATCATTGTTACTTTCTCCGGCCCATTTGTTCTGACTTCCTTTAAGGCATTGAATCTTGAGAATCTTGAAATTGAAGGTATATTATTTATATTTCAAGAAATATTCGACATATCCCTAAGGGTAGAGCTGTCAAACTGTCAGTCGAACTTAGCTTTAACAACGCAAGGGTTTCTATTGTTAAAAAAAGAATTTAACAAAGTAGATTTAGTCCTCTATTTGTTTTTTTTTTTATACTTATAGAAATAGTAAAGAAGTGCTTACTTATTATTAAACCCTTGTAAGGTATTATAATTTTATTCAGAAGGCTAAACTTAGTGAAGGAGTTTTTTCTGACCCAATATTATTTAATATTTTAAATTGAGTATGCAGATTAATAAACCTAACAGAATTATGATGGATTTTCACTTCAAGGGTATAGAAATTTCAGTTTCCCGAAGCTAGTTCCCTTTCTTATTAAATATTATCCTCAACAATCCTCTTAATTCTTTCCTTTTTGCTTTAATAAACGTTTTCTGTATATTATGATGTCGAATTTCATTTAATGTGTTGTAAATGAAATTTGAAATGTTCATAATTACACAGTTTACAGGCCATTCATGATTTTGCATTACAAGCATGAGACAATTTACGCAGACGGGATAAGCCGACTTAGGAACTGCCAGCTTGGTGTGTTGCCATCGATTGGTCTCCTTGTTTTGAGGCCAAGGACAAGTCAAGCTCTTAAGCCGATTTTTGTTTTTCTTTTTTCATTTAATATATACGATAAACAGAGATTGAGAAAACCTGCTCTCCTTGCAGGCGTCTGCCGGTCATTGAATATTTACCAATGTGCGTGAAATTAAGACACCGAAAGATACGTTGAGAAGACAAACAGCTCAGATGACTTCCAAGGTGACAGCATTATATTCGTTTTCGGGGTGCTAAAGATTTTTCATGGCTCGAAAGCGGGACACAAATCCGGAGTACACGAGTTCACTTCAGCTCGCAATGCTTTCACATAGCTGCTTATTGCTGTTTACCATATTTGCGCTTATTTGTTTGTCGACTGTGGCAAATATTTGAATTTGAATTCAAACGTGCTTGACACATAATACTCCGCCCGTAGCTCAGAGTCTCAGAGCCCCAGCCTTCGTAGCCTATTTCGCAGAGCAAATATTTTATGAATTTCAATGTGCCACCAGCAACACGGCGACGGAGGAGCTATGGGTAGGTGATGCAGGTGACACAAATGCGCTGCCGAATAAAAGGCAACAAAATGTGAAATTAGTTTGACACGTGTACCTACCTACCTGGCTGAAAAGAAAAATAAAATAAAGAATATATGGGTGCGAATACAACATCATCTCGGCTCA